AAAAGGCTGGAGTCACACTTAGACCTCATGTTAAGACCCTCAAGGTAGGAAATTGACATATTTTCCACTCCGACACATGGTCATAACTAACTGACTCGCAGAGTCTGGAAGTCACGCGGTTGATGCTGGGCAATGGCAAGTACAAGAGAGTTGTGGCATCAACACTGTCAGAAATTCGTGGATTATTGCCATTGGCAGAAGAGGGAATTCTCGAAGAGGTTTGTTGTGATTCTCCATTTAAAATACACAAGGACTCGTAGAACTGAGGCATTTTCTTTTAGGTTCTGTATGGGCTGCCGCCCCCAGCAAGCACCATCCCTCTGCTGGAAGACCTACGAAAGTCCATCAACGTCCAGCTCATGATCGACCATGAGAAGCAGCTCACAATAGTAGAGACCTTTGCCGCCAAGAACACGGAAAGTACAATCAAACCGTGGGACATCTATATCAAGCTCGATGTGGGTAGCAAGCGCGCCGGTCTTCCCCTGGGCAGCGATCGTCTCACAAAGTTGATTCAACGCGTCAACGACTCATCAGCCGTCACTCTCAAGGGCTTCTACTGCCATGCAGGCCACTCCTATGGGTGCCGCACACCACAGGAGGTGGAGGATCTCCTTACGGTCGAGATCAACAGTGTCCTGGGCGCGGCGAAGCTGGTCACTGGTGACAAAAAGCTCACCCTATCTGTGGGCGCTACGCCGACGGCTCATGTTGTCAGCACTCTTAAGGCAGCGATTCCCGAGAACGTCACCTTGGAGTTGCACGCCGGTATGTACTTCTCGTCATTCTCCAACACAGAGGCGAGACACGATTAACACGATACTTTCTTAGGTAATTTCCCAACAAACGATCTCCAACAGGTCGCAACCAGCGTCATCGGAGCCGAAGACCAGGCGATCCGCGTCCTCTCCGAAGTCTGCAGCGTGTACCCGGAGCGCAACGAGGCTCTCATCAACGCCGGGACAATCGCGTTGTCAAAAGAAGCTGGCCCGGACCCAGGCTACGGCAAGGTTGTCGGCAAGCCCGACTGGGCTGTTGTCCGAATGTCCCAGGAACACGGTATCCTGGGTGAAGTTCAAACACCGGGTTCAAAGACTGCTGAGCCGGAGCGCAGAGATGTGGAAGCGAATTTCGATGTTGGCGACAAGGTGTTCCTCAATGTCCAGCATGCTTGCATCACAGCTGTGGCCTTTTATGTTTACTTCGTTGTAGATGAGAATGATGTTGTGGTCGATACCTGGGTTCCGTGGAAGGGTTGGTGAATGGTGAATGGTTTAGTAGTGTTGTCAAATAGTGGAAGTGGAAGCTTTCGTCCCTCATAGTGTAAAAGAAAAGTTCATGGTATCATATTCGCCCGCTCTTGGTGAGACCCGTCCGTAGATGTACACACATGTTGATCGAAAAATGATCTCCAGTTCCGTCAGTCGCAGCCATCTTTCGTTCGTTCGCACGCTCGCTGGCCCCTTAAACACCGCCGCTATTCATATCGATCATGTCCCCGGTACACCTACGCAAATGAAATCCAAATCTGATTCTCGTTCATAACCCGACAAACCTGCCAAGGACCTGCCCCAATATCTGCCGGCATGACCTCGTTGTGGTCCCACAGGTGCTGCAGCACGACTGAAGTTTGTCGGATGTTACCCAGACCAATGGTGGCAAACATATGGCCCAACCTCTCATGCAGGAACTCTTGCTGTCCCTTATCTGTGACGCACGAACCGATAATGGTGATGGGCCAGCATAGACTAGTGTTTATGCGGACGCTAGGATCTAGTTGTGCTAGATGTGAGAGAGCTCCACTGAGGGCGTTTTGGATAGCCATTGCCTGGAGGCCGTGCTCTTCTCGAGAGAGCGTATGTAATGCCGTGTGCAGATAGAGCAACAAGGCTTTCTGGTATATATATCCAGCCAAGGCAACATTCTCAGTCACCATGGGGTTTGGCTGCCAGTTGAGGATCTGGCTTTGTAGTTGTGAGAACAGAATAAAGTCATCGGCTGATGGGCGCCAATCCGGCTCGTCCATGTGGCTCATTATTCGCCGTCCCAGGTCGAAGATCGAAGGCACTAGCAGGATCAGATCTAGCCAGCATCCGCATAGACTACCTATGTAAGAGGATGCCACGAGCTCAGTGGCGAGGAGAATGAGATCGTTGCTGAGGAATAGTTGATCACCAAGTCTTGCATCTATGGATATCATGCTGACGGTCGCCGTGTAGATGTAGTATTCGGTCAAGAAGTCTTTCAAAGTCTTGTGTAGAAATGTGTTGTTCGCAGATAAGAAGGGCAAGATCAAGGACTGGGCTGCCATGAGATGGTCGAAGATGGTTCCATTTACGTCACCTTTGGCAGTCTACAAGGGGTATCAATATCACGGTGAACTCAGTTGCGAGCGTGATTGTGCGACATACCTCAACCAAGCACAGAATCAGGGCACCAATGCCCAGGATCAGCGTTTCTTCACCATGCTGTCCGCCCATGTACGTCGAGATGTTTTGCTGAAAGAGCCGTAGGGACTGATTGTAGTATTTGGTTGCGATATGGTCCGTCGGAACTAGAGACTTTGCTGCTCGATGGACGGCACTCTGCGTAAGAAGTAGTTGTAAGACGAGATCGCTGCTGAATGCTAAAGGAATCAACTGCGCGGTAAAAGGGTTGTCTGCCGTGGATCCATTGGCCATACTGAGCGATGTCGCGCTGAGATAATGACTGAGAAGCTCGAGTGAGTTGCTATCCTGATTGCCGGCCAGGAGGTTCATCGACCTCGGCACATGGTGATCTCTGAATATCGACATTGGTTGAACTGGCGAGTGCACCATTTGATCCGCAGTCTCGCCATCGTCCGGGTCTTCCGTGTTAAAGACGGAAAAGGCGGAAGGGTCTTGAAGTCCGATAGCAGTCGTCGTGTGCTCTTCTGGCGTCTGGGGAGGGATGATGATTCCGCCGCTCTGGTCCGTCGTGACGATCTGGGTTGCCGGACTTGGACTCGAGTCTGTTGTGGCTGCACTTGGTGATTCCGAGGATTGGATATGTGATGCAAAAGAGAAGTTGACTGAACGATCTGGGAGATGCTGGGGACTCTGGGATGCCACCGTGGACCCTGATGGTGAAGGAGCAGTAGGCTGAACATCGTCCTGCCGCGTGCTCTCTGGCGAATTTCCTACCTCGCGGGGTGAGCGCGAGGTGCCGCCGCTCTGGGTAGCTTGAGAGGAAGAGGCAGCGGCGGTGGCCTGGGATGAGGACGTTGGGGGCCAGCGGCACTCTAGGCGGTTCCGCTCACAACCGCGACACCGCGGCTTGGTCTCGTCGCACTTCTTCTTGCGACCGCGGCACGTCAGGCACCCCGTACGGACGCGGAAGATTGGCCCCGCAAGGGTACGGCGGGGTTTCGTTGACATGGCTGAGAGAGCCGGCCGGGCCCGTTGAAGCGAATGAGTGACGGAGGGAGGGAGAGAGAGGGGAAAGACAAAGCGCCAAGAAAGCCCGAAAGTTGAACCGTCCTCCGATAGAAGGGGAGAGCGAATGAGGCAAAGTTCTAGACCAATTCCAACGGAACGGGCAGCAGAAGAAGCGAATGCTTGTGTGTTAGATGTGATAGACTGATCTTTGCATGGACAGTTGACACGGAGTTGGAATGTCGAATGGACTGCCTCCGCGTGGGCCAGATAAGGAAAATTTGCCGGGGTCGTGTGAAGGCGCACTATTCGTGTCTCGAGCGCGGTCCGCCGGATCCGCCCGACCCACTTACTTCGCCGGTGCCAGCGCGGTAAAGAACCGGATTGGTCACCCCGCATCCTCCTTGTCTCGGCCGGGTTACCCTGACGAGGCCTAGTCGACACTATGTCATCGTCCTCACCCCTCTTCAGCCTCAATGAACTCGGATCGGGTGTTGGGAGGTATCAAGTATCAGATCTTTAAAAATTTCCCCAGCTGACCCACCTACCATTGGAGGACAACTGTAATTTTTGCAACGGGCCTGATGGTTTGGACATTCAATGAATAGGGCGCATACTGTCCTCCTTACGTAGGTTGGGTACTATTATAAGGAAGTATCTATTTACCCATTTTAAGCATCGTGTCTATCCGCAAAAATATCGATATCGCATCTAGCTACCTACATATTCAAATCTACCCGTCAAGGCGTCAAAGGTGAAGTGGGCCTAGATCTCTGGAAAACTCGATCACGATCTTGTAGACAGAAATTTCTCGTGGGCAATTCAACATCTTTCGCATGCATAAGTACCCAGCTTCAATGCCGGAGAACTGCCTGTGATCCATTAACCATTCTGCCTTGACTCTCGCGCGAAACCCTTCCATCTCCTTGATCTTGCGAGAATATTAGTTGGCTTTTCTAATCGCATATTATAGCTTCTTGGTTTTGTATATTTGGGAGGACTAGAAATCAGATACGCATACTGCAGGGCAAGGGTAAATTGATAATGCTGCTGGTGCGATTCGGATTCGTTGCACCATACAGCTCTTGTCTTCATGGGATGATATGGATTCAAAATAATTTCCTGCTCAGTGGGGGTTCAAGACTGGCTGACTGAGAGTCGACCAATTTAATCCGGCTCTCGCAACTATCACATGTAATGAACATTCCAATTTGCAACGGGTTCATTATCCATCGTGGTGATCTGCAGAAAGCACCTAAAGTAAGTAGTCAATAGATCAGCATTCTTATCATCACTTACAAAAGTTGTTTGTATCGATTTAACTGAGCCCCTAGAGCTTGTGTAATTTTAGTACTCTATCTAAACTACGAGATGCAGATGATCGGACATCGAAACAATTTCCAAATCGCAAAACAACTATTCGGTAAAACAAAATTGCTCCATAACAAGGCCACAAAAGTAACTAAGTCACCAACCCTTCGTATCAAAAGGTAAACTAGGCACTAAATATGCCAATTCGCGTGCACATGATGTGCGTACTGGGAAATGATTCGTCTTTTCAATGCCCATGCTCTTCCATGTCGAGATTATCAGTCTGAACTGGTTTCAGGAACCATTCGAACCTTTGACATATGGTAAACTGTAATTGTATAGTCGCGGGTGGGTGTTGTAGTATGGATCAAATGTTAACAAGGCAAAGCCTGGGTCGCCCGCAGCAATATTGTTTGGCCAACAAGTATTGAGCTCCAGACCATCGTTCGCCGGTGGGTTGGCAGCATGCCCCCATTTGTTAATGGTAAATTCTGGCCGAACTGTAGCCGTGATAGCGGCCTGAGTTCTTGTCACGCCGCCTTGTATGACGGTCTTCTTGTTGGGATCGGCGTCGACTTTGGCCTTGAATTCGGAGTCCTTCATGTCTTCGATGGCGGCACCAAGACATATTCCTTTCCACATATGTCCTGCTCCTCGATTCATTCCTCCTGGGATTAGACGAATTAGTTGTCCCTGTGCATTTTTACCAGAATTGAGGCGGGCTGGGTCCTGTGGTCCTATAAGATATGCAGGTGGGTATTCGTCTTTGTCGCAATCTACCTTATTAGGGTTCGATTTGACTTCATCCAGCCATCTATCGCCTTTATGTTGCTTCTGGAAGGCTGGCACAGCTTCTGCATCTAAGCGCCACGCCGTTGCCGCGGCTTCAGGCGGACAAGTTAAGGTAGCCCATTGCGGATTGACCTTGATAGCCGAACTATAATGGAAGCAAGCTTGAGACCATTTTTGGCTACATTCTCTCTCCACAACAGTCGGCTTGGCGTTGGGTGCGTAGACAACCGATGTTACAACTAAATCATTCTTCCTTGTCGCATCGTTGACACAAGATTGTATCCTCAATGTGTTTTTAGCAGCCCCAAGTCGCATGGTTGATTTTGCTGGTGGAACCCTGCACTTCCGCCCCTTTTGGATCTTTCTATCAGTGGGGTTATTGTCGTCACCCTTTTTGCCACTACCTTGTTTGAGGTTATCCGATTTCTTCTTCTTCTCGAATCGGTCTCTTCCAGCAGGCGAGTTGCTCAATATGTCGTATACTTTTTTGATGTCTTCCGGAACCAAGTTTGTTCCGCCACAAGGCTGAAGCCACCAAGAGAAAGCGCCTCCAGGGTCTTCTTCCTTGGGATAAAGATATGCTGCCATTTGAGCAGCCGTATTGGCGATTTCTAACCAGATTTATAAGCTTCGGATTCATAAGAGGGGAATAGGAGATGGGAAAGGCACCGGGAGGTGCAGAGAGATAATGAGAGAAGGGCAAGGGCATACCCAGACCAGCGCTAATTGGCTTCCCTACCACAGGAATGAATTCTACACCAATCTCCAGCACTAGTTTCAACGTTGACATCATAATATAGCATGAAATCTGTAATGCTGGTTGTAAGTTTCATCTTTACTTCATGTTGCTCTGATTGATTATGGTGTAGTAACGCTTACCTGAGCCATCTGTGGCATGCCATCCAAGACGATATCTGCAAATTCGTTTACCAGAGGGTTGTTGCATTGACATATCCCTCCAGCAATTGTCGTATCTGGGCCCATCTTCTGCCAAGGGATAGGTTTGTCGATTGGCCAAAAGCCCAGGCAGAACGCATTATACATTTTGCCTTCTTTCTTGGCTTGGTCAATTTCTGGCTTGCAGATGGAATCGCAACTTGTCTTTTGGAAGTCCCAGTGTCGAGGTTCTTTGTATATATTGCAATTCTTCGCATTGCTTTTCTTGGCGCGCCTGACATAGTCGAGAGGGTCCTCAGGGTCGGTCACCACGATGTCGATGTCACTCGTATCTGGTCCATCGATACGGCTCGTGCAGATATCTTGTGGACAATAGCCGTACTTGCAGGCAAACTTGCAAAGAATATTAAGATCCGTGTTCGTATCGTCCCAGGCGACGACATCGACTTCTTTCTCAGGCGGAACCTGTGATGGAATACCTCGGGCAGTGCACTCGCACAAGGATTCTAGGCAGAAGCCGTATTCGCAAGAAAACTCGCAGAGATTGCCAGTATTCAAAGTGCGATCTTCCCCTGATATACATCGTTGCAATTCGCGACGTTGGAAGGTAGGCTCAGGATGCGGAGGCTGATGTTGAGGTGGCCCAGGACGCTTAGGCTGAGAACGCGGAGGCTGAGGACGCGGAGGCTGAGGGCGTGAAGGCCGAGGACGAGGAATCTGAGGACGCGGAGGCTGAGGACACGGAACCTGAGGACGTGAAAGTCTGAGGCTAGGATCAGATATCTCATGAACCTTCACGCCAGGCAAAACGGTTGCGTTTTTTGGGCCCGCGAAACATTTCCCTTGACTCCAACCCAAAGTAAAATCTTCAACCAGCTCGCGGTTTTCGACAATGTCAATTGCAATGCCTAAGATCCTTTCAGGTCCTCGACTGTCATCGCAAATCTCGACGAGCATCTGAGTCGGATGGCCGGCGATTGGCAGATACGAGATTGCATTCCATGCAGATGTTATTGTTGACTTTGCCAAGGAGCCTCCGCTATAGATACTCACTATCATGCTTCTAGATTGGGCGAAGAGAGTTTTCGTAGGGCAGTTGGAGGGATCTGCAAGCGTTTTATCTACTGACCCGCCTAGGAGAAGGAAGTCCCACCTACTGAAATTGTCATTGCCATCGTTGCCTCGAACTACCATGACTTTGCTCTCGACCTCTTGGCCGGTAGACTCACAGGATGCGGAGTACATGCCATCTGGTTGCCGAATACTAAATTGAGAGCTCTTCGCGAGTGACTCCGATGTCCAGTCTATGACTGGACGACTGGAATTGAGCGAGCAGCCGTAGACGGTAGTAGCAGAAGTTAGGTTGGCAAGAGCGTCGGGAAACAATGGTGCAATAAGCATGGGTTCCAGGCAGCGACGTAGGTGGTCAATCGATCCATATTCTGTCCATGTGTTCGTGTTTGTGTGGTTAGCACAAGGTATAGGACATTCGATTTGTTGGCTAGAAGGGGTAGTATCGATTCCCAGTGGTGCTGCGACGTTGACGGTGACATTGTGTAGGACGTCAACTCGTGTGGCCTTGTCGAGCGAAGGATGCGGAGCAGCTACTGCTATCCATGAAAGAAAATAAACTAATTTCATTGTTAATCTGGTTATAGAGGTTAGTCGATTGCCTTGGTATGAGACATAAGTGTTAGTATCTAGGTAGCTTATGCGTGGCAGTGATAATTACATAGTCAGATTCTGTTTCATAGTCAATGTTCTCACAGTCAATGATTTCGCCTGATGAAGAAATGTTTCCAGGCAAATTCATGCCTTTGGGCCTTTTAAAGAAGTTCTGCAATCCGACCTTTTCGGTTCGAAGTAGAATCTTAAACTTGAATATACGACCGTGAGAGCTAGATTATCACATCAAATGTGGTTGAGAAACTCTTTGGATTAATGTTGGTTGAAGCTTATGGGGCTTGGCACCCTGGTAAGTGTTTCAAGGTTCTCAAAAGCCATTACATTCCGTTATACAGGATGTCTACAGACCATCAGTGGAGAATGGCACGAAACACCTTGAGAGGTTTTCCGAGACGTTCAATATGAGCTTCATTTTACAGCAAGGTTTGATAGCTTGGAGTCGAAAGATCTCATGACGTAAATCAGATGATCTACCTATTCACCTGAGCGCGAATTCCACCCCTTAGCTAACATGATGCTATATGTTGCCTAACTAGGTCTTCTCGTCTATAGGCTAGAAACTGATCACAGAATCAGAAAATATTCGAACCCTCGTTGCCTTGGAGGCTACAGACATTGGCTAGTAAGATGACCTTTTAGAATTGACGCGGTCCCCCGGGGTGTTATGGAAGGTAAACTTTGTGCATCTCCTCTCAGCCAGTCAGGCCACAAGGTTCTGCAGTGCTTTGGGTCTTCACTTAGCTGTGACACTCGAAAACTAAAGTCTGACATCATGCTAACTTGCCAAGGTGTCACTTGATGTCCCACTAGTAGGTCATGCCTTGAATTATTTAAGCGAGCTCATGCCTGCCTCCAAAGTTTTATCTCTCACTCTCAAACACAACTTACTTGCCCCAGGCCGACATCTTTTTCAGAATTGCAAAGATGCCCGAACTCGCCGAATGTAAATACTCCCGCGAAGAGTGCATAGCGTCAATCCGCGACTATTACAGCTTCTTAAGTACGATGTATGTCCGCGAAGACGACATCCTTTATCCTCCAGAAGAAGGTTGGCCTTCAATTACAACAGAAACTTTGAAAGACATGAGAAAAACAGATGAGGTCATATGTCTTCTACGCCATCTACCCTACATTCGTGTCCCGAGCAATCCCTTCAATCAGGCTCAGGGCGCTCCTTGGTGCCGTTTCGCCGATTGGCAACACACAGGAGCCCGTGTCGAACGCGGCATGGATGGCCAGGATTTGAAAATCATGTCGGAAGGCTCCGAAATCTGCGACAACGCACCCTCCCACGTGATTGGTCTCACAAAGGGTGGCCGCGAAAATCCTGTTTTCCTTTTGGATACAGAGCTCGGCATAATATACTGGCCAGAATGTCCAGACGGGATCTCAAACAATTCTTCCTACGACCATCTGCGAGTTTTCGATGACCCTCACGAGTGGGCTCCAGAAAACGAGGCCGACTGGCGTGGCGATGCCACTCGCTGGACCGTGAATGGTTTCTTCGAAGTTCTCAAGGATCAATTTCGAAAACTGAACTTTATCCCCACCAGTCCACTGTCTGTCATCGATGTATACGCGTATCTCAGACCAGGCTCGGACGGCTTGGTGGAAAAATTACAAGTTATCTATCATGAGCATGGCTGGCCGGGCCTGGAAAATTATCGGAAGCGGGAATGCTTGGAAGCTGTGGAGGCCGCAATGGAACAACAGTATGGAATGGATGATTGAGTGGCTTGGGAAAACAGGACGGATCTACATGTGTCAGCATAAAAGTCTTGGGAGGTTTCATTTGCTTCATTGCTGTGGGAGTCGACTTCGCAAAATAACTCAGTCATGACAAACTCCAGCTAGCACAAAGTCTTATTAATGGTTAACTTTCATAAGGAAACTCAGCTAGCAGAGTTCAGCTCAGGATTTCTGAAACTTGTAATCCGATTTCTGTATCCAAAAGGGCCTGAAATCCCTGCTACATCCGTTGAGGGTTTAGCAGATTTCTTCTCAGCATTAGTTTAATTGCATTGGTTCTACAATATCCGTGGCTGTGGACTTTGGAAGATGGAAGAGTTCCTGAAAAGACTCGTGGTAATCTCTAGAAGATGGCTTCTTCAGATTACTACTAAATTACCGCGCCGATGTGCGTAAAACTACCCTATATATAGATACAATACATTGGATACCTTACTAGTGATTTCAATGTGAAGGATATTCCACAAACAACAAAGTCGGAAGTGTCTTGTATTACTCCAAGAATCTTCAACCTGATTGTGGATTGAAGAAAAGCCTGGTGAAAGCTGTTGTAAGAGAGCACAAGTCCGTCAAAGAGACCGTAGAGTTCGCCCCCGTCATTAGCAATTGGAGGTAGAAACGGTTTCGGAGCAATAATACTGTCTTGTCAATGACGGATCCTTGAAGCTACATTCAACGGCTACAGGCTCGAAGGCTTCTAGGATGCAATTCTGTTTCAAACGGACAATTCGCATCGACTAACCATTGGCGGTAGCCTCCATCTCTCTGGATGCCTCAAATGTGGCTCTTAAAGCTTAGCAAATCATGAATGGCATCCATCAGGGTAAGTTGACCACACCGCACCAAAGGTGAGCCTTGATGGTTCTGGTTTAGGGTCAACGATTTCTAACCTCGTTGAATCGAGAGCTTTTCTGGGACCCTTCATGCCTCATGACTCCGAACGGTGGTCTATTTGCCAGGATTCTTGCACGGTTCCATCACAACGCGTCTAACCATACAAGCGCGTTTCTCTCACCAACTCACGCATTGGGGATATGTTCGAGCTCAAGTATAATTGCAGAGGATTAGCAGTAAGGTCGCGAGTAGCCCACTGATGTCAGGTCGAAAAGAAGCCTCGCAGGTAGCCTTAAACCATTCATCAAAACAAGGTTAAGGTATTTGTTTGGCTTTCCGTCCAGTGGGTCCTCCCCCGACCCCCTGAAGCACGCCTGCGCCCAAGTGGAGTAGCAGGCCAGCGTCGGAAACATGTGTACATG